CTAACTATTTCTAAATGAAATATCTACTTTGCAAGTATTGCAAGTTGCCCTGTTGTCATCCGTTCTCGTAAAGTATAACCAAACTTTTGAGCGTTTGAGCCGCTTAGGCGCCGTGTTTCCTGCCAGGTAAATGACGCTCCGCAACATGGTGACGTCATTCGGGGCGACTGGAATCAATAATGGAATCGTTTGCAAAAATGGCAAACAATTCCAAGGAATTGATACAGTGGTAACCAGTTCTCAACAAGAACTGGGTTTTGATACCCATCGCTATTAATGACTTGTTTGTAATTGTTCATTTGTCTGTGAAATACTTGTAAAACATTGTTTATATTTAAAAATGTATATTTATGGTATGTACTCATCAGTTTTCAGAACGAGTCATTCCACAGAAACAGCTCAATTCAATGAGGTCATTATTCAGTTAGTTTACCAGGTCAGGTTCTCAACCTGCTTTCATTAAAAGGAAACCCGACTATTATGACAAGTTACTCAAAATATGTTACAAATGATCTCCACTACACAAAAAACATACTTGAGAATAACTACATTTTTTTTTTTTTTGTTATTCATTAAATCTTTGTTGTTTAAAACTATTTTGAAGCCGTTGGAGCGGCCATGTTTTTTGGGACGATGACATGTATTGGTTGTCCGCAGTATAAGTGCTTTCGTTCAGCTAACCTGTTTTGTTTTTTAAAGTGTATCAACTGTATTAATTAACTTGCCTATTAGTGACCTGGTTATGACTTGGTAGACCCAGCACTATCCAGTCTTTATGTCTGATGTCATTAGCCATGTCTGGGCCCAAACTCTGGTGCAGGTCCCAAAGTCAAATGACCACTGCAGCCTTACTGAGAGCTGAAAAACTGTCTAAATTCTTTCACCATCAATAAAAAGATGAGTGTGGCTGTTCTACCAGGTGTAACAATTAAGTTTAACATCCATGAACACGGAATTTATGACATTTAACTAAGTTAGAAGTTACCAAGGAGTTAACTCGCTTGCTTCCATCTAAATATAATAAATGTTCTGACTGAGGGATTTGTGAACCAAATTAACAGCTCTGTTATCACTTCCAACATAAATGACAAAAGGAAAGTAAACATCAGCAACTGGTATACAGACTAGGGCTGAACGATATATCGCATTTGCGATAATATCGCGACATGATCAAGTGCAATTTTCTAACCGCAAAGGCTGCGATTATACTCTGGACATGTCCAAATTCATGGGCTGCATCCTCCTGA